CGGGGCCGGGGGGGCGGTGGGCTCCAGTCGCCCGGGCTTCTGCGGATGCCGGGGGGGCGAGCGATCCTTCACCGCCTCGGTGCCTGCAGGGGTTGGAAACAACAGTCCTTTTTTCCTTTCTTTTTCCTTTTTTTTTCCCCCCCCCTTTTATTTTATTTTATTTTTTTTTTTAGAGAAACTCAAGTGATTTCTATTTATTATCAGGAACATAGCTGTATCCACCTTTGCAAAAATATCTCCGTCTGTTGCAGCTAAAACTTTGCCGCTCACATTTCCACGTAAGCCCTTCCCCAAAGCACGTCTCTCAGATTAGTTTATGGCTGGCTCAATAAAATGGTTTGTCCCTAGCTCGGCCTAAGAACAGATGGGAGGATCGTGCAATTTCCTCTCCCTCTCTGTATTTATATGTACCTACATATATATTCCAAGCACACACACGTATACAATAGTCAAAACCGCTGGTATGCAATGGTATGCCGTCCCAGCATTTCGCACAGACGGGGAAAGGCTACCAGAGCAGCGTGTGGAGGCTCACCATGGCTCTCTACCAAAAAAAACCTTACTTAGGCTCTGCTTCATCTGCTACGCACACATGCGAGAACACACGTGCACGCATGCGCGCGTGTGTCTGGGTATCTGCATCCAAGAGCTAATTACCGCATTCAGAAACATCATGAATGATGAAGAAACAACAACAAAACTCCTCGGAGAAGACATTCAAAAAATTTTTGCTTACTGTTAAAATAGTTGGTGTCACGAATGCCCAACAGACTCTCCAGAATTTACTTGGCTGGAATCCAATCATCATTTCTATATCTTCACAAAATCTTTGCAATCCTGTAAATAGCAAATGGAAATGCAATTAGGTGTGAAAGAAACCGGCTGCAATTTGCAACACAGCTCTTGTGACCTCCCTTGTGTCTAATTACAAAAACAGACTTTGACTTGTTGCTCGAAAACCTCAATGGAGAACCTAACCACACAGTAAAAAATGAGACTATTATGGTGGGAACCATCCTAATAAAATATTTATTTCCCAAGGATTATAGCAAAATTGAGCTTTTACATCAAGATTAAGTGTTCAGTATGTTCCGGGTTAAAGCATTAATAGTACCTACCGGTTAGCTGCAATTATACGTATACTTGTTATATTTTGCTGCGAAGATGAACCTTATTAATATTTCTATACCTGTTTCAGCACAGATAATATCTGAGCTTCTCTATACCTACTACGTGACCAGGGTACGGGATGATTGTATCACTTAGCATTAAAACCGGTAATATCCTGTTATTTTTCGTTTGACATGTAAGCAGTACTTACAATTATTAGAGAGCACCCGTAAATATTTTAAATTATATTCAATGTTGTTTGAACAAACAGATTGACTGATGTGTTAATTCTTCAGATTATTGTATTGATCGCATCTATAAAGTTACTTGAGTTCATAAAACACACGAGATGATTGCAAAAGGGTATTTCAGCCACCTCTGCAGCTATCTCCCTGGCCATGCCATGCGACTGGAAAAGCTGTGCCGGCCCAGTAGCTGCTATTGCCCATCTGATAAAAGCCAGTCTGCTTTTCAGCCTTGTTCTCTGCAGAGCTGTTTAGGTAAACGGCCCCTGCTCAGTACAGCAATCAGTAACTTATCCAAAAGTAACAACAACAACGTTGAAATTTGTTCCAGCTTTTTTAATGACGACAAGAAGGAGGAGGTCTGGGGGCCAAGGCCGAGCTCCTCTGTCACACAAACATTTCCAATTCAGGCCAATTTTATCAAATGAGGCAGGTGATCGTCTCTGTCATTTAAATTTTACAAAGCATTATTCTACAGCATTTAGTGCAACTTTTACAATGTGGGGACAGAGACTGAGCTTAAATGTTGGCGAGAAGTCACTGAGTAAGGGAGGAAATACTTGGAACAAAAGGAATAAACAGCTTTGTGTTCTTACTGCCCTTATAGCCAGCCACTGCAGCTGCTGAATTTAAGAAGGGATAATCCCCAGGCTTGATCCACATAATTTTGAAGCCTTTCTGTTGATATCAAGGAGAACTAAATCTATCCACCTGACTGTTCCCAGAATTAAGAAGCGGTGGCCCAGCAGGTAAAAAATAGCAATGGCTCGATATTCAGTGTCTTCTGATGCACCCCTAAGAAAGCAGCAGGGCTAGATGGTGTTAGGGCAGCCTTAAAGGCCCAGCTCAGAGGGTGAGCACAGATTAAGCCAGTCCAGGCAGATAGCATGTCTGAGAAAAGCTAAAAAAAAAAAAGCGTTATGATAAGAAATAGAGAAGCAAAATCCAGAAATTAAACAAGATGGTATTGCAAGAACTGTATTTAGGGGAGGGGAAAAGTACAACCTGCAGTGGATGTAAGCTTAGAAAACTAACCCAAGGGGACCCAGGTGGCACATTTTTTTTCTGTAACTGTAATTTCTCTCCCTCTTTTTCCCATTTTCACTGACTACAGAAAGCCTCTTCTCTTCTCTGTAAAATACAGGTAATTTTTACTACCCCTGGAATCACCGTACTTCAGCACCCATCCGACCCATCGTGTGCTTCCCCGTTTTGTAAGAGAGCTTTGTAAGCCTGGACCAAATGTAACCCCCAGGGTCACCGTGTCAGGGACATGAAAGGAGATCTTAGCTGCAACGGAATGATTTGCCCCTGCATTTTATTTACCTGCATATTACAGTTCAGTGCACCGTCTGCAGCAAGCTACGTGGGAGATGCTCACGCTGCGGTGGGAGCAAAACTAGTTTTATACTAGTTGCAACAGCACAAGGTACGGGCTGAAGGGTCTTTCCACAAAGTTTAAAGCTCGTCCAAGTCTCTCTACTTCAGCCACGCTTGCTGCTGCAAAGGAGGTATACCTAACTGGATAGTTACCAGGGGCTTCTGCCTCCAACATTCGTGCAAGCTTCATGCAAAAGTGCACAGATTCGTTTGAAACTCCAATTAAAAAAATTCTGTTCCTTCCTGCAATCGTCAGCAGACATTCACAGTTTAAGGCACTTTTAAATATTAGCAGTTCAAGAGTCAAATGCATGTAGATAGATACAGGGATTACACAGCACCCATCTCTTTCCCAGTGAAAGGCTGAAAATGGGTTTGTCAGGCTCCACAGAAAAAAGCAAAGGCTGCTTTAGTTAACAGAATGATGATTAAATCTTAGTGTGTCTCGTTTCCCTCTCAGATCAGTCAGGCCTGCTGAATAACTTTGGGAAATAAACAATGAGACATGATATTCCATATCTCAATTTCCACTCTCTAAAGTAGGATGATGTATTCATAAGTGCTGCAGATATAAAATCCATTAAAAAGGAGAATGCAAACCTAGACAGACAACTACTTCAATATTCTTCTACAGGTAAAAATGTTCAAAATTACTTTCTACAAATACACTGCAGCAGTTACCACTCACTCTGACAATGAGCCTTCCCAACAACAGCCTGTCAAAAAACAGATCTAGAAGGAGCACAAACAAAGTTAAGGTCATACATTTTCAGTCTCCCACAGTGTTTCTTTCAAGCACAAGGATCTTTGTATTTAGCTTCACGTTACAAAATGCAACAGTGGGAATTATGCTGATGATTAAATTAATACCCGCAGCTCTAAGCTGTTCTTTACCAATCATGCATCGTAATCTAAACAACTGGAGAATAAACATCTATACCGGCATGTGAAATAAAAACCAGCATTTGACTGGATTATGTAGCACTGACTCTACTGAAAAATAAGTGATTGCAAGGAAATAACCAAGTGTGCCTCTTTTTAATTTAAAAATCTCAACAACCTCAGCAAGCAGAACATGTAACAAGAACTAAAGATAGATTTATTTCATCATAAAAGCACCTGCTGCTATTGTGCCAATCTGCTTCCTATGAAGAGTACAAGTATACTGAGAAAAGTGTCAGTGGAGTGTAAAAGAGCAATTGTCAGAGCTTGAAGATATATTATGCCAATTTTAAGCACTGCTTGAAGGAATATAACAAGAGCAGCAGCTTCACTTGTATTTATAACATGCAAATCACAAATATACAAGCTGCATTCCTATTAACAGTCCTTGGCAAAGCAGCTTTAATGCGGCAGAAGTAGCTGCGATACATTAGTCAAGCAGATAATGATTGCAAAGTAAATCTCTATTTTTCATGTAAAAGACTGGAAGCTCTTTAGTCTAGCAAAAGGTTAATTCCAGGGAATAATCTTTGAAACAGTTTATATCAAAGGCCTTACTAATGTCTGTTGATTAACGATCAGTTGGTACAGAAAGCATGGAAGGAATGATTTGTAATCGGCAGATCTTTCCCAAGTCTGATTACGTTAAAGTAATATGTAACTCAAAAAAAAAAAAAAAAAGGTTTCCTCTATTCGAATCCTTCCTTTGCAGTGCTATGACTATTTCTGAATTGTTTTATGTTTTTCATAACAGTTAGCGTTTTAAGGAATACTGGATTTGTTGGGCAAAGCAGGCGCTAGCCAGAGCAATTTTGCTTACAAGCCAAATACACCGTTGTTCCACAAAGGCAGGTCTGTAGTGCTTCTGCCACACAGTGTTCAGAGGAGGAACAGAGCAGTATTTGCTCACAATTTACCTTCATCCTTATTTAAAAACATACAGAACAAAGAAATTCCACAGATTTAAGTAGTTTGGGGGTTATTGAAAAATACTCTAAGGAAGGAATTTTTATCTTGCACGCTGACGGCAATGGCTTTCAAGGGGGCAATCTTTTGGGGACAGACCAGGTGATGCTGTAGATGCTGCTGGCCAGGAAGAGCGACAAGATCTGGTGCTTTAGCACAGCGTCGTTCAGGCATGCTCTCAGCAAACAGATGAGGAGGAGGAAGGGAAAAAAAAACCAACAAACCCTTATACTCTTCTTGAGCATTCCCACTCACCTTCTCTTATGGAATTGCGTTGATTTTAGGAAAACTGGGAAATTGGTCAGTACGGTAACCAGATGCTAATGACTCAGGTGACATGTACCTGGTGGTGTTGCCACAGGAACGGGTAAATGCTAAGTGTGGTGGTAACCAGGGGGAGGGAATGGGCAAACCTTACATGTCTTCATGGAAAGTGAAGCACAGAGCAATGGCAAAACTTGCCAGCATTGATTTTTCAAACCAGGAGTTCTGCTAAATAATCCCCCAAATCCATCTCTCGACTGCACTTCAGGAGATATCTCAAAGCATTACACTCAGGTCCTTTGAGAAGACTGGTTGAATGTAAAACTGATCACAGTTACCAATATCATTTCACTCACAGAGATTACACTTCTAAACTGACTCTAATTAAAATACTTACATTTCAGGGACATTAAAAACAACAAGCGTTTTGATCAACCAAACCGTGATTGGTCTAAATCAACTTTTCTCTCAGTGTTTTGACTTTTTCCATTGTATTCTGTAACGTTTCCTCACTAGGTCATATCTGACTTCTTAGCTTACAACCACTCAGGCCTTCTCACTGGACTGGATGTCAGTGGAGATAAAATACACTTCTGTACTTCCATGAAATTGGAGAAAACACGGAAGGGCTGATTCCCTGTCCTGTCTATAACATTCATTTCTCAAGCAAGAGCAGCAAGTTCTGCGTGTTTTGAATTACATACGATTTTTTAATGCATTTATGTTACAGAGTGGACCCCACAATGTAGGTAGATCTAAGTAACCAGTGCACCGGACTAGAGCCTAAAATCATGGTGCTATATATGCACCTTCAACAGAAGGTCTTGGGATTGTTTATGTCCAGCTGACACAAAATACATAATTCATTCCTGACCACAGCAACAGAGGAAACAGCCTTATCTTTGTCATCTTCAACACTGAGATTCAGACCTTACTTTGCTTTTGAAGGCAAGTCTTAAGTGGCACCACCACGCTCCAGCCATAAATTAATCATCTGTTACGTAGGGAGATCTTCACATTTCCTACCACAACCATCTGAGACCAGACATTTCCAAGAACCAACCTCCTGAAAGCACCGGACCGGTTTGGGAGCAAATCACCAGCTGGCATCAACTGATGTTGCTACAGTAGCATCGAGGTAATTGCACTGCGTTATGCTAGCTGAGGATCTTCCTCATCATTTAATGTACGTCAGCATGGATCGACATAACTGGTGTTGCCACTGTGCGTAATTTATCACTCTGAGTAGCTGCATAGTCTTGATTCTGTGTTACGGACGGGTGGGCTAATGGGAAGGCTGGATGTGTACATGGAAAACAAATCCTTCAAAAGTTGTTCAATGCAAAGATACTACTTCTGGCTCAGGAAGTCTCTGACACTAAAGCTGTTGGAGTGCGAAAGAGCCCCTGGAGAAGCGTCACTAAATGCTTGGTCTGTTCTTATACTCATCTCTAAGCATTGGCTTTAAGCTATGGGCAAGGAAAGGTCATTAGACTATATGAAAGTCTTTTGAATACATGTATTTAAAAGAATCCTATAGTAATGAAGTCCCATTATGCTTCCATTCAAAATAAGGGAATTCTGAGGCTTTCTATTTAAAAAAAAAGTGTTACTCCTTTCCTTAAGAATTTAACCTTACCAGCTACTTTACCATATGGTAAAATGTTACGTTGACATAGGCTGTCCAATAACAGTATTTTTTCTTACCATATATATAGGAAACTCCAACAAGCTCAAAGATGGCAATGATGACAAGAGAATAAGAAGCTGCGTAAGTGTCCACAAGCTGTAACATATACATTCCACCCTAAAGAAAAAAAAGGATAAAAGAGCCATTATTTGTGGCATGTAGCTGGTGTCTCTCTTCATATGTGTCACAACTCTAACTGACGCTAAGGTAGGCAAAATGGGCAGGAGCAGGACCCAGGACTCCGTACCCCAAGCAAGCATCCAAACGTTGACTGGACACAGGCTCATGCCGCACTACAGTTTCTTCCTTCTGGCTGAATGAATATCCAATCCAACAAGAAAAAAAAAGCAGAGGGTACACCTGAGTCTGGTAGTTATCATACCTTGGGAAGACACTGCTTTCAGTCCTTTCAGATTGAGGACTGAACTGCAACCAGACCTTCCACCAGCAGTGCCTCTAACCGCTTCATACTGCTTCAAAAGCAAAATCACCATTGAAACCAGTAGTACTGTAATAGCGGGTCCAGTTCATCTCATTGGAAAGGATATAATACCCTATCTTCAGGGCAGAGATTAAGCAGTAGAATTCAAGTGAAGGAAGGACTGAATCCATCCTAGGCTTTGGCACAGCAAAGTTGGGCTGCTAGGTGATGAGGTGAGGGGAAAGAAAGAAAGAGGAGGGGAAAGGATTAATAAAACAGCAAGATAGGTTTTGTGCATCTCCTTTTGGAATTGCTGCGAGTTTATAATGCCGGAGGAATTAGGGGACAAAAGACACAGAAGGCTATCAAGGCTAGATGAGAATTTCATTATTAACTCCACACTTTGCCAGGACTATCAGTATATATCTAATCTGGTAGGGAAGGCGCCCAAAACTGGTGTGCATATTTATATGACATACAAACTTTTTTTTTTCTTAAATGAATACCTAACTTACATGAGTGCTTTGGAGATGTTTGGCTAGGGATAAATTTTAAAAGTCTGCTGTTCAAATCTTTCTGAGAAGAAAAGTCTTTTAAATATATCTCAGTCAGAGCAGCCATTAAAAAAAAAAAAAAAAAAAAAAAGGCTGTCAGACTCACCCGGTGTCTTTGCGCATGCAGCAGAATTCAGCTTAATCTTTTGCATCTTGCACAGGAGGAGAACGGCCACCAGAGGGGGACTGGGGACAGACAGGGATGCTCAAAGACAGTATTATTACCTGAGTGATCATAGGAAATCCCATGATGAAAAAGGAGATGCAGCACCCAAGAGTGAACAGTGCCTTGTGCGTACGTAAGTATTTGGGGAACTCATCCGAAACGGAGGTCACTATAGTCTCGATGGTGGCAAACTGAAAGACCAAATAAAAGGAGTCATTTCAGCTCACACGATGTGCACAAAGTGGTCCAACTGGATAGAATGGAATATAAGAGAGTATTTTGAATCTTGGGTGTTAAATGCCCAGACGTCAACGCCAAAAGCGTCACCCAAGCGATGTCAGCACTGACGGCCTTACCTCATTCCTCTTTTTGGAAAGCTGTTCACTGACCACATGGAAAATAGCAATTAATCTCCCAGTCCTCCAAACAAATAAATAGGAAAGGCAAGAGGGAAAAAATGGGAAACAAAAGCAGTTTACCATAGTGTCCAATCCAAGTGTCAGAAGCATCAGAAAGAATATTATAGCCCAGAATGGAGAGAGGGGAAGCCGAGTTAGGGCTTCTGGGTAAACCACGAAAGCAATTCCAGGACCTAGAAATAAGAAAAATAAAGACTGAGGCACCTTGCATCGTGTTAATATTGTTGACTGAATGGAAAAGACAGAGACATGAAGAATCATGTTTCAAAGTCTAATAAATTATTACTCGCTTGATGAAAGAAAAAAGATCAGCTTCAGTCTCTCCTATGTACAGAAAGGTTGAACCACTGCAGAATTTAGCCTCACACGATTAATTTCTGTTTTGACTTTAAGTCTCAAAACACTCGTACACTCCTACTTTCCAAGCCGCAGAATACATATGTTACCAGCATACTCATATACTGATCCAAATACAAAAAAAATAAACAAAAATCGGGTACTGCAGCTATGTTTCTTTCCTGCTCTGTGATCAAATTCCTGCCACTGTCCCTGCCAATTAGCTACCCATCAACATAGTAATCACCCACCCCTCAGTACTATAAGGGTGTATGGAAAAGAAAATACTCTTAACTCATCAGCACAGAGTCAAATGAGAAGGAGAGAACACAACAGATGGATCCACAGAGCCAATACCAGAGACAAGGTAGTAACTACTGTGAATCCGAAAAAATCCACAAGAAATTCTGAAATAATGCACAGCAGAAAAAATAGGGAGATAGGGTCTTTTAAAGCCTTAACCAGGAATTTTCCTTTCTTTGTTGCTTTGATATCTCGGGCTGTAATTTTTATTGACTGTTAAAAAAAAAAAAAAAAAAAAAGTATTTTCACAAGTATGCTTAGATTTGCCTGAGAGAAAAGGCTGCAGGACTGTGGTAGTAGCATTACAGTAGATGGCACTTCTTCTCTATTTATCCCAGCTAAAGAAGTGCCCGCTTCAAACGCTCGGAAGGATGTTTCCTGTCAGGCGAAATGGAAATGAAAACCAAGTAGTACTGATGCCATGACCCATGCCACGAGAAGGGGCTCCAAACTCACTCTGTCCTGGCCATTTCTAATCTAGATTATTGCATCCCATTTCCTACAGGTCCCCACGCTGTTTCTGTTCGAGAGAGCTGTTGCTTTCTTGCACTGAGAAAAACAGTTTTAGCAGCACGTGAAACAATCTCACAAATCTCTAATCTGTGAAGTGCTTGGAGTTCCTTCTGAACAAGACAAATACAAGAGGTAACAACACAGTTAAAAAAAACCCCAGACAACACTGTACATCACTCAGTAAGTGTTGCTGCCTTTAAAACGTGCTGCAGAAAAATGGCTTTTTGGAATAGGAAGGTGCATGTAGAACTACTATGTATTCAGGAACACGTTCTTTAATCTCTTGATTAAAGATTTCTTCTTGACTATTAGAGATAAGGACTCTGTTTGCACTAGCTTCCTGCATGTAAAAGTTTAATTAAGTCTCAGAATAATGAGCTCCCATTAATCACACTTTTAGGAAAAGTTTAATTATAGAATATGAAACTGCACGTCTCTCCATCTCAGCCCCTTATAACTCTCCAAGACATCACATGCCTGGTAGCATGCAACCGCAGGTGAAAACAGTCACAGGGAGGCTGGCTCCCATCCTCTCCATCTTTGGAGACTTAGGTGGGTATGAATGCTTTCTAAAAATCTATGAAAGTCAGGAAAAATCCAAAGTTTTTATATGTGTTGAAATGAAAAATGTCAAATGACCTTGAACTTTCATTTTAAATTACTAAAATTTTTCAACTGCACTATGTTCTTAATCAAACTGAGAGGAGAGCAAAAATAGATTGTCCTGTCTTTCCCTCCATGATGTTTTATTTGTTCATCAGGTACACGAGTTTTTCCTGAAAGGAACATTCTAAATGATACAAATACTACGTATTTCAGATTCATATTTTGGGCGGGGGGGAATCCATTTCTGTTAAGAATTTCATTCAAGGTTTTCAAAAGCCTGAAAGGAGATCATAATCACTTTTGCTGCTTTCTCCTTCGCTGCAAAAAGAAATACAACTTAAGAATACAAAAAAAGGTAGGCAGGGACAAGGGCTGGCTCTTTTCCCCAGTTGCTGAGTCTGCTTTTTAATTCTGTTAATTCAATGTGCTAACTCAGTCTGCAATTATCCCGAATCTTCACTCTTCCTACTGTACTGTCGTCTTCTATTATGTGACTAAATTTTGCTTCCCCCACCAGAGAGAGCTGTGAAGCCTCACCCTTGTGAAATATTTGTAAATGGGCTCTTACAAGTGCACTGACAGCCCTACAACAAGATTGTCTTGTGACAGTTTTTTTCACATCCCCTCGAACAGCTGCTGAAACAGCTGGGATCAGAGAGCTCCAGCCTGTGCCTTGTCGCTCACTCAAAGACCACCAACAAGCACTCAACAGAAAAGGGCTTGCCGTCCGCTGCGCCAAATATCGTGCCATCTCCAGGGAGATGAACCGACTGAACCGATGGTTCCTCCGCCATCCCTAACAGCTATGTCTCTCCATCCCCCCTCCGTCCATCCCTTTGGAGCTTCCACTGCAGCTTCACTCAAGCACGGCTTCTTTAACTCTAACTCCTTAAAAATCATTCCGGTGAGTGCAGCGTGGTTTAGATTTTGGGGTTGGGGGTTTTTTTGTTCATTGTTTCAGGATGGAGGTAAAGTCTAAAATAAAAAAAATTAATAGAAGCTCCTAAAACACCTGGTCTCACCGGGAGTCTTGCAAACACAATGGTCTAATCCAGCCAGAAAACGGGGATGAGAATGAAACTTTTCTGTTCCCATTCAGCTGACTGGCAGACCAAAAAGAGAGACGAGGCACTGAAGACTGAATTGATGTTACATTAGCTTGCCAGTACAGCATCCCCTATTACTTGCTACTGAGAAACAGTTTGCCAGCTGACCATCCTATGAAATTCTCCTCTCAGACCCTCCAGCTGACTCCACAGCCTGGTTAGCAGCCCATTCCACCACGGGTTAACTGGTGCAAGCCCCACACTAACTAACTCCCTGCGACTGAACTGCAGCCCATGAGCTCCCCCTCACCTCAGCAGCTGGGCTGCCACGTACCAGCCGAAGGAGCTGCAGAAGTTGAATGTGACCCGGCACCTTTATTTGCATCTCTGAGGTCAGAAGTACTGCCAAATCTGTGGGATTATCCATGTTTCAGTTTGCAGAGAAGGAATAAGCAGAAGGAAACTAAGAGCCTTTTCTATTTCTTACCCAGCAGCAAGATGTTGTTCCTTTCCTCCTTTCACCTGTAGTAGCTGGTTTCTAATAAACGATTAGAAACAACAGAATTCCAAGACAAGGTATTTTTCAGGAAAAAATGAAGAATGCTTCATCTGCTTCACCGGCTCTTGTTCCTTCAACTACAGGATTTCTGCATCCCCAGCTCACATTGTCTGTTTTCCATTTAGCTCCCACAACATTGTTAAATGCAGATTAACCTTCATAACTAATTTTTCCAGAATGACCTATGAATATTACCGTACAGAAACTATGGAAGGTTGTCTGGATTTCTATCCCCTATTGTCAATTCACTGCTACAATTTCACGACTCTCAGTCAGTCAGGTATCTTAGGCTACAAGTAGCACCTTGTGGCATTGAATTTATCCAACGCAACAAACCTGTCAGAAAAACGTCTAGTGTCTTCACATTAATGCAGACAGTGAGACACATCACATACAGAAGCCACAAGTATGCGACATTCGCTTTTTGAAGCCTTCTGTCCTTCCCTCGTTCAGAGCCTCCTCTTACTCTGTGCTATCGTTGGGGCGGGGGTCACATTGGGAATCATTCCCATGGCTCATGGAGAAGCTCTTAACCACTTTCCTTCAGCGCTTGGAAGTGACTGTATCTGTGCCGATAGCTAATACAATCCACTTAACACCCTCGTGCGCTCACAGAAACAGCTCTGGTGGGGGAATCGTAAATATGTATACAAATTATTACAAATTTGTCCTTTTAACACAGCTAGAAATGATCTTAAAGATCTGGGGCTTGGCTGGCTTAGGGCCAAAGTGCTGCACATTGCACAGGAAATGTAGAACTCGACTAAGGTAACAGTTATCCCTCAAGAATTCCATCAGATTTTTACAACCCTTTAAACTTCTCCGAATCTTACCGCAAACGCTCCTCCCTTCCTATCTCCCACTGCTTCGCACCAAATCATACCCGACAGCCCGAGTTCCTCTGTCAGTCACGCTCTTCTCACTCACATTCAGCTCAGACAATTAAGACCTCTCAGATCCCCATTTGTAACCATCTCATTTGACTAACTGAGACCTTCTCACCTGTTCTCCGGAAATTTTTTTACTTGCCCATGGAGGCAGCTCCTTGCTCCCCACAGTTCAGAAGCCCAATACTCCTCTCTCACCGTATTTCTCCCACCCCCACATGGTGAAGCCCACTGTCCTCTCATCCAAGATTCCCACCATCAGGGACAACTTTTACCTTGGAGGACCCGACAAGGCAGCAGCAGCAGAGACAAATAAGAAGACGACCGCTTAGACTATGTGAAGGAGAGAGCTCACCCTACGCCCCCGCCCCCCCCCAGTCATTTACATAAAGATTTTAAATGAGTCTCGGCTTGCTTCCTCCTCTTACCAAACAAGTGATAAGGAGGCTTCAAGTAATATCTTGACTTCCCACTGTGCTTCCCTACGTACCTTCTCCCGTACAGAAATGCCTACAAGCGGTTTACTAATCCACTCCAGTTTGAAGCCATTATTCCCACCTCCATGGTCAATGTCATCATTAATCATAGAGCTGAAGGTGCCACTGGGTGCCTAAGTAATGAAACGGCAGCATACCCTACCTTGGTCTGCCACAGCTTCGATATTCACTTTGAGCTCATTTGCCATGAAGCCAATAACCGAGAAGATGACAAAGCCTGCAAATATACTCGTGGCACTGTTGGTACACGTGACTATCAAGGTGTCCCTGAAAAGAAAACACAAGAAGCCGCATCACCGTGTTGTAATACATGCAAGCGAGGAGGGGTTCGTACACAATTGAGGAGTCTCCCTCGTGAGCACACACATCCTGTGGGAACGCTGAGGAAGGTGCACTTTTACACTTCTCGGGTACATTTGATGCTGGTCGGAGATGACAGAAGTCTTCGCAACACCACCAGGAATCAGCTGTGCAAGTTTCCATCCCCCACATGTTCTATAGAAAGCCACAGGCCAAGCAGGAGGGTGATCATTTCTGCTCTTGGTCTCTCTGAAGAAGGTAGCAATGATGTGTGGATATCTGCTCATTATATCACGTATGGACTAACCACCACCATCTAAGGTAAGGTGATTTTTGTGCTGTATCTTTCTTGTATTTATGCACAAAATCTCAGGGTTAAGCTTTCCGTACCTTGTAGCACTCACTTAAACGCCCGCCCATCCGTAGAGGATTTCCTCATACAATTTTCCGTTGTTGCTGTTAAGGGAATCTCAAGAAATCCATACCTGAATGCCATACTATACTGGGTAAGTGTATGTGACTTGACAGGACACCAGCCCTCATGATCCCCGCTCATAATTATTACATCCTTGATAGGATTTTTTTTTTTTTCCCCACAATATAGGTGTCCAGAAGACTTCCCCTTAAACTGCTGCAGCTTAGGAACAAACAAGTCACGCACTTTAAATGTTTTTGTTTGTTTGTTTGTTTAAGTTGGCTAAAATTGCTTATTCCTTCTGCTATTTGTTTGTCAGGAACAGAACAAAATACAACTGGAAAAGCTGTCAAGAACCTCACTGAGCTGGGAAGCTTCTGGAATCTCTAACAGAGCATCTCTTGACAGGAATGATTAGGTTAATTCTTCAGGTCTACAGTAAAAAATGACAATGTTCTGTTTGGAATCACCACATGTTAATCTTCTTCCAAAACCAGATAAGTTTTAAGTAAAATATTTTAGGTATGCATGATGAAGTTAATTTATGTAAATTTACTGCAATTATAGATTATTTAATGATGTTTAAATTGAATATGTAAATGAAAACTACAATTTTATCTGCAGTATTGGAACGTAATGAGTATAAAAATTGAAAGAGAAAATAGTCATGCTTCATTTCAGTATTCAAGACTTGTTGTAAAATTAAAAAGATTATAAGTAACTAAGCTTTTCTAATTATTTCTGCTTCAGTCTCCCATATCCCTCCTAACATAGGTAAAGCATGCTTTTAGTATTGGACCTGTAAGATTTTTATACTTCATTACCATGTATTTCATTTAAAATTTTCATGAACATTTTCCAAACTCCACAAAATGTTGCTAAATTAATGCAGAAAGGTAGCATGAGGTTTCTCCCATTTTTTGCCCTGATATTCTGAATGTATTCATTCACCAAGGAAAAAAAAAAAAAAAAAGAATCAAAGCCCAGGACAAGCATTTTCAAAATTAAGACCCAAAAGATTGCTGGGTGGGAGTTACTGAGTATGCAACACTGTTTCTTATTCATCCATCTTTTAGGATAATTATAATAAATTACTTTTGAACACCAGTAGGAAAAGTTTTTGAATTTCCTTTTTAAAATCCCGATCCACATTTCTTTTAAAAAGTAAGTCTTTTATATATGGTACTTAGAAGTTACAGGACATGGGGGTTCAAATCCCAAGGAGTGTGTGCTTTAAAGTCTTGATTTGGGAAAGTTTTTAAGCATACCCCTGGGACAGCCCCTGTGCCTGCTGGTGGCTGTCCTGAATCAGCACATCTGTCATTGCAGGAATCAGAAAAGGTTTGCTTCAGCAGAAACAAGATTGGCCTTAGAGACCATAAAATAGCAGCGAAGCATTCCACTAACGCCACTTGCTTTTGTTTTTTCCATCTGCAGACATCTCTTTGGCACGCTCTTTGATGAAAAACTATACTGGGCCACCAGAACAGTGAATTTTTCACTTGTAAAAATAACTTTCAGTGACTTCAAATAAAAGCCATTTTAAATATCACACCTTGAAAGAACTTTGTACATGTAAAATCACACTAAGAGTAATTGGAAAAAAGAATTACATGTAGGAGAGACAAGAATCACAGATATGGAAATTGCATGTTAAACTCATGCATGTCTCACAAGGGCAAACTTCAGCCCATCCTACACACGGGTTGTTCTTCAGCAGAGGCTGCCGACCGGCAGCGTTTCGTACCGCTGCTCACAGCTCTTGACAGCTTCCCAGCTTGCCTTTCAGCCTAAAACTGCTGATTCTGAAAACGAAGAGCCAATAGAGACTATAATAAGCCTAAGGCTCATCTTGAGACTAGCAGATTAGGACCTGGGGAGAAGATACAATACACAAACCCCAAAAAAGATTGAAGAAACAAAACAAATAGAAAGAAAACCCAAACAAACAAGAAAAGCACACACCCCCACAAAAAAAATAGAAAAGAAAAATTTTAAAAAATAAAATACCAGAAAATTTTTAAAAGAAAATTTAAAAAAGAAACTAAAAAAGAAAATTTAAAAAGGAATTTTTTTTAAAGAAAAACCTAAAAAAAAAGAAAAGTAAAGAAAATTAAAAAAGAAGACAGTCTTTCAAACCAGATTTCTCCAAGTTGGCAGATGACTGGCTTGGGACAAGACCTGTTTAATGAGACCAATGGATTTCACTCTCACATACCTGTAGCAATTATTATGGAATTTGTTGTAAGAAGAGAGAGTAATTAGACCTCCCCATGCTGCAGATAAGGAGAAGAAAATCTGAGTGGCAGCATCCTTCCAAACCTAAGACAGACAAGAGAGGAAATAGCATCAGCTTCAGAAAATAGTATTAGAAAGATCAATAACGCTATCGACTGTTTCTGTTAGGGGATTAACACATAAGTAGTTTAAATTAACTTTAGAGCAATAGATGTCAATAAAACATTTAAAAGCAAAACCCTGCCCCAAAATACATAGTGCCCATTTGATGAGGAGTGCCGTTCTTGTTGAGCCCATATAGAATGACAGTATCACCTTTTATATGGAAGGCACAAATATGTGTCAAGAAATATAGTTTGAATATCAGTTCAAATACATTCAACAAAAAAAATACAAATCAAGAGGAAAAATCTTCATCGGGTGCCGACAGTTTATCTGCCAGTGGTCCTAAATAATACTTTATCTTTGTGATAAAATTAAAACCCTCAGTGTCGCTTGATGCGCTACTTATGAACACGATTACATTAAAATTAGGGGAAATTTCTGTCATTAGGTGTGCATCAAACAGCATAGCGTTAAGTTAGGGCTATTTAGGCACCAGGACCCAGTTTCCTCCCAGCAGAAGAAAAGATATGTTCAACCAAGTCTTTCTTAAAAAAAAACCCCAACAAAAAAAGGCATTGTTTGTTCTGTAACAAAGTTCTTTGAAGTCTTAAACACATTTGAATAAAGCATTTCTAAATTGCCTGGAATTTCAAAGGAGTTGGTCTTACTTATCACTTGCAAAATGTTTGAAGCGTTGGTATTTCTATTTACAAGCTCTCCTACAAAGTCTAATTTTCCACCCAAGTCTGCAGTGCAGAAATGGAGACAGAGGTACATGCACAGATAGGTGTCCCTATACACACACTATCCAGTGTTGAAGTTATTGCTTAAACGCTGCTTTAAAAGTTACCAGCCAGCAAGCAGTCAATCCTTCATCTAACTGAGGGCGATGTACAGCTATTAATTCATGTTATACCGCAAAGAAAATTGAAAACAGAAGCTCGCCTGAATATTATCAAACATTTACACAGGGTTTTACAGATACTTGGAGTATTCAGAGCACCCTGTTTTGCAAAAGGCAACAGTTCTCAGCTCCTTTATTGGACAATGTGGGATGCAAAACTGCTCATATTTAATGCAAAATTAATTTCTGTATTGTTTGCAGAAGATTTAGTACTCCCACGACCAAAGGGTCAAAACACCCATAATTGCAGAGATTTTAAGGAAATTAAGATCTGCACTATTCATCCAGGAAATTGCTTTCAGCTTCAATTATTGATCTATCAGTGTGGTATCACACCACTACTGATAGAGGAAAAAAAATTTCTTAGCAGGGAAAAAGAAAAAAACAAACAGGAAACTTCCTGAGGCGTTGCTAGAAATCCCTCTTAAACTTCTAGAGAAAAGAGTCTGAATTGTAACTCTCAGCTCAGGCTTCAGTTCAGTTTCCAGAATCCTGCCTCAAGACACTTCAGACCAACACACAGGGGGTCATGTGCCGTATCAGACAAATATATAATCCGTGGGTTGATTCAAGTCTACAGAGACACAAATCCAGGTGCAGTTTTGGAACACGTTTGACCGGCTTCATCGGCAACAAATGGCTTTTTAGAAATCAGTTGAAACCCTGAGTGAGGCAGTCAGTGCTTCAAGAGCAAAGCCAGGTACAGAGTCGTCAAATTCTGTCCCCTCCTACCCAGCAAGAAGCCTTGTTTCTTACAATGCAGGTAGGATAATGATCACGGCTGTTCTGTGGCAGTTTATATGCTCCTGGGGAGTTAGATTAGGATGAATAACTTGATTTGGTTTGATCTAATGTCTCATATGCATTATTGAGAACAATCTTTGCTCAAGGAGTAAAATACACCTATTCAGAGCAAGAAACGCAGGTAAGTTCATTATGTTACCTATTAGAAGCTTCACGTGCAAGGCAGCACCCAACAGACACCAGCGTATGAAAAATCTATGCTTGCTTTTTAATCCCCTATTTTCCAAATGCACCTACTCAGAGATTCAGCTGAAGTATGAAAAGCTAAGTAAACAACACATCTATAATAATATATGGAAAAAACGTTACATGCACACAAATAACAAACATCCATTGCAACAACACTCCGTGTAAGATGAAGAACAAGTTTCCACAGATGAAAGTTCTGCTTCTGCACATCAAAACCCCTTGCAAGAGACACTAAGAAATCTGTATGACTTATTCACCCTAGCAGAGTTATAAGTGCAATAATAAACCCACCATAGCGTCAATTAACTTCTCCCACTTTGGGGTGATGAAGTACCAGATTCCAGCCCCAGCTCCAGGCAGAGTTACTCCTCTTATAAGAAGGATGATGAGAACTACGTAGGGGAACGTAGCTGTAAAATACACCACCTGGACAGACCAAAAAAAAAAAAAAAGATTATTGAAAGGGCTTATTTGGATCCATAAGAAGGGGGAAGGGGGGAATACAAGGGCTATATTATTGCCTGAAGAAAGCAATTACTCAGGCTCAGAGACAATAACCAGGGGATAAACTAGGAAGACAACAGGGTTATTTCCCAGGAAATCTGAAATTTCACAGCCTTTCTCACTGCTGGAAACAGGAATAATATCCATAGCAACAGAGGTAAGAGTTGGGATTCTAGACAGAGAGGGGAAGAAAAAGCAGAAAAGAAAGTCTGGAGAGGAACAATAGGAATTTAGATCTAAAGGACAATATCACTTTTGATCCTTGCCCAGAGTCAAATAACACAGTTCGGTGGAAATGAAATGAGCAATGCCATTCAATAGCACTTAAATTTTTTATTTTTTCTATATATTTCTCTGTATTTAACTAAGCCTAAAGAATGTTTATTACTGTTTGTACCTCTTAATAATTACATATCAACATGAAAATATTTATGGTCCCAATGAAAAAAAAAAAAAAAAAAATTAAAAAAATCAGTGGAACAATCCAGATAGACCTAATCATCATGATGTCTAAATGCACAACAAAGGTTGTGTGTTTAATGTCTTAAAAATTATCTAATACAGACCAGAGCGCTCTCTGTGGTCAGATGAAATGGCTAGATTGTGGCCAGTTAAGCTGTATACTCTACCCAAAAGCACTTCAAATCCTGTTCGCATTAACCTCTGAATACTACAGGGACCAGAATCCTCTGAGCTGAAGTGACTTTTGAAACTGCTTTCTCAGCTTTCTCTTTGCTGTTTCAAGAGGTGTTTCAAGAAGCTGCCCTGATGAATTTTTGTGCCGTGAATACACTGAACTCACCTACGCAGGTTTTCTATCCCCAACACCAAAGAGTCAGTATTTTCCTTGGCCACTAAGACTCACTTAAAGAAATACCTATTGCCACATCCAAACCCAGGTTATTCTCCCGTACACCATCTGTTTCTTGGCTCTGGCCTTGCATGAAAGAGTTTTTCTTATCACACTGAGGTAGGGGGCAAAAAAAAAAAAAAAAAAAAATCTCAGCTTTCCCCTGGCACTCTGAGTCTCTGGATTTTCTGATAATTCCCAAGCTACCTCCCAACAGGGGTTGTCAGCTTGTAGGTACACGAAGGGGTAGCTTGGAATCAGAAACTCTGTGCCCATGTCTAGAATATTCATAGCTATCTCTGCATATCCACTAGCTTTATCCCAGGAAATGTCTAGTTGTTTTCCTCCAGCTTTTTTATCTTTTCAGCCTACTCTTTGTAAATAAGCTAGATTTATGCTAGGTCATCGTCCAACATTTTAACCTGCATGGTAATTGCAGTGGCGTTGACGGAGAAGTTTCAGATATTGCATTCCTGCAGGTTCCACAAAAACCCCACCCAAACCAGTGCTCCTGCTAAAGAAAAAGCTGCATTTCTCTGCTCAGACAGCTGCCTGGCCAAGTCGTACGCCTCTACTTCCATGCCAACAAGAGGACACACTCCCTCTTGACACGGTTGCTAGTTAGGAGGCATGGCAGAAAACCGCAGATTTGAGGGGCGAGGGAGAGGACAACGTGTGAGATGTCAGAGAGACAGAACAAGGAGCTGGGTTACCACAAGGAGGAGTTTTAGGATGATGGCAGACAAATATTTGAGAAAAGAGGATACACACGCTGCCACTGCTCCCAATCACCATAGACCAATGTGAGTTCAGTTCTTATTTTCAAACGTGTTACTTAACATCTTAATTTATACCATAATTTTGACTGCAGAATTTTAATGAACACCCCACAGAAGAGGGGAGGCTGCTGAAGGCACTTTTCTGCCATCCAACTGCTGAGTGCAGCTCAAAGGTTCATTTTAAACTTACTGAAGACTGGGGAACAAATGCTGAACCAAAATTATCTTTTTTAATGTTTCTTCTAAACAGGAAAACACAGACAAGAAAAAGGCATTTCGTTAATACTTAGCCATTTGCTGAAAATAATTTTCAGTAATTCACTGCCTTAAACAAGAGTGTGATTCCCTTAAAGCAACATGCTGCTTTCTCACAGTGTACAATCACAAATATTTTTCTTACTTTTCCAGATGACTTGATTCCTTTAGCAAGGGAGGCATAAACAATCACCCAAGCTAGGAAAAGAGATAGTGCCAAGGGCCATCTAATCTCACCAGGATACTCAATCCCTGCCGAAATCTTCAATACAAAGTACCTAAGAACAAAAAAGAAATAATAATAAAAAAAAAAATAAAAGGAGAAAAATTAATGACAGCAACCGCAGGCAGTAATTCAGTGCAAATTCCTACAGAATTTTGTTTTGTTTCAGCATTCTCAGCAGTCTCTCTAGAAGGTTCCAGGGATTCACACCATGTATTATTTTATTTATCTGCATTGCAGTAGTAGATAAAAATGCCAGGCATGGGCCAACACCCCAACTGTGCTAAGCACCATAGGAACAGAACACAAATAATCCAGCATTTGAAATTCAGCTTTCATCACTCCTGTGCATAAAAAAAATGGGTATCTTTTGCTGTCCTTAACTATTGTATTTCTAGTCTTCTAAAGAGGTATTCTGTGTCTGTTACAGTGGGGTTTAGAGAAAGATTAACAAAACGTCTCTAAACAAAGAAAGATCTTACTTGAAGTATTCTTCGCTTCCACTGACAAACGTTTTGTTTCCCTCACTGGTGAAGTTAACCATAGTCAAGTTTGGATAGGCACTCATACAGAAAGTAGAGTTCTTGATTTGTATTTTTGGGTGGTCACCAATAATGCAAGAATCTAGGAAGAAAATGTAAAAGAAAAATAACTTGTCTAGATTTATCCCCCCCCCCCCAGGTTGGGTGTAAAATGACAACAAAAAGCATTAGATCGCACACGACTTGAACTTTCGTTCTATGATAGATGTCTGGAACAGCTTGCTTACAGAAGCTATAAAGATCTGAGAGAACTAGGGCTTAAAAATTTCTCCTGATTTTCCCCCTTTAGCCCAAATGTCTAAGGCATCAAAAGAGCCTGAGAAAGTGAAAGAAATTCTGCTCATTCCCCCTTTGGGGGCGTCCCGGCCAGCCCCCAGCCCCCGGGCCAAGGCAGGGGAGGGCAACCGGCCCCCTCCACCGGTGCTACCAGCTCGTCCAGAAGGTTGTTTGCTCCGTTTTCAGGTTTGTTTTTTTTCATTAAGTTGTCTTTAACAGAAAGCAGAGGCTGCCAGCTATTGCATTTTATTTTGTGGGGTTTTTTCCCTACGCAGAGTATCAACCAAAAAAAAAAAAAGTTGGCTTTTTTTAGCATTATAGTTGAAAAATCCTGTTTATCCTTGATGAAGAAAAGTTTAAAGGAGGAGGGAAGAGCCCATATGGTGCAGATCACTTCGAAGTGACTTGGGAAGCGACGGTTCCTCCGTGCTAGGAACCTCGCCCGGCCACAGTCATCCTCAGTCTCCCAGGGGCGCAGCTAAGCCAGAGAAAACTCTGGAACCCTACCGTGACCGCAAAGAAAAAGAAGAAAAAAACCCGAAAACCCAAGCCTGTCCCAACTTACCTAACAAAAGTTTGTTTTTATCTTTACAGTCTGGCGTGTTCCACGGGTTGTTACAGGAAGCCCAAGGTAGCACAGGTACAAAGGACGCAAAAAGGTAGAAAAGTGTGTAGCACAGAATAATATTGTAATATATGGCTATTAGAACCGAGATGATCAGCATTGCAATGCCACAGCCTGAGAAAAAAGAGAGGGAGAGAGGAAAATAAGGCGATTAATCCCAGGCGGAGGCAGGGACCTGCTGGACATCCCAGCGGCTGCAAAGCGACGGTTTTATCCGGCGCAGGTACAGAGCAGCATCCCCACCGCGAAAAGGGGCTCACCCCCTCAAGGACCGCGCAAATTACGCGCTAACTCTGCCGAGCCACCAGCGGGAAAGCCCCATCCCATGCGGCTGCGCGCCTGCGGAGGCGCTGCGGAGGGGGGGGGGTTGCGCAGGTGCTTAAGCCATGCGAGAGAGTTTAAGTCATGCTCCCCCAAAACCGGGCCGGCTCCTGCTCCGCTCACCTTGCAAGGCGGGGATGGCTTTCCAGACCGACACGGGTCCCTGACTAGCAAACTGCCCCAGGGAGACTTCCAAGAAGAAAATTGGGATCCCGGCTAGAGCCAACATCATCAAATAAGGGATGAGAAAAGCACCTTGGGGTTGGGAAGGAGGGGGGAGGAAAAAAAAAAAGAGAACAACCTGAATCATCGCGCTTGGGGGGTGAGGGGGGACGCATCTCCTCCTTTATCACATCGGGGGGAACTCGCCTTGCTCCGCCGCCCGGTGCGGAGACCCCCGCGCAACCTCCGCGGGGCAGCCCCCCCCGGGGAACGGGCTTTTCTCCGGCCGAAACGGGTCCAGTTCTGCCCGGGATACTGGGGCCAACTTAGTCAAGACCTGCGGCTGTTAACAATTTTCTATTTGTTATCGGTTCTCCGCGTCCCCAGTCCGGGGGGGGGTGGGGAGCAGCTTTCTGCGTTTGCAGCAGTTGCTCGAGAAAATATTATTGTTAAATAATATTAAATAAATAAGTATTTTCACCCCTCCCTCTTCAAAGTCCTTGGGCGTAAAAAGAAAAAAGCTCGCCATTTTTTTTAGTAAAAGTTGATGTTGGTTTAAAATCGCTAGTTCTCTCGCATAAAATAGCTCTTACAGCCTTTACACAACTGTTTTCAAAGATCACAGCACCAACGTGCCCTGCTGATAGTCCTGTGCGGAGGGAAGAGGCTTACAGCTGCAGCAGGTTAAATACAGTTACACCCACCGATGCTCAGTATAAAGAAGAACCTCTGTTCGGAGAAAAAAATAAACTTTTTTCTTCCCTTTGTAAACTATTAAGGGCACAAGCCCTCTTCCAGCTTTTCTGCTCCTCTGTTCTGCTGAGCGGCATTGGCTCTATTTCAAACGCTTCGTTTTCAATCGGCTCACTGAGAGATTTAAAAGAAATACCCCAAACCTCACGAAATAAGAGAACGTCTCGCCTCGGTTTCAAACGTCCTCGTGTGCCTTTCCCGACTCAAAACCCTTCCTATCGCCCTCTCCTCCCATCGCTTCCCCGGTCTCACCGTTTGTGGATTTAGACCCGACTGTGTTTAAATTAGGCAAATGAGGGGGATGGGGGGGTCGGGAACCCTCCCTCTCTGCCCAAGCGTGCTCAACCCGGCTCTTCATTTCCCTCCTTCTCCGACCAGCACCAATTAATTAAGGGTGGTTTTAAAGAAAGCGCTACCTTTTAACGAAATCTCGCAGCTTTCCTACTTTCTGAGCTAATCGACACGAAAAAAAACCCCAATTTTTTTTCACTAAAATCGCTGATGGTCTGGAGCTGCCCCCCCCCCCCCCCGAGCTCGGCTCAGCCCAGGCTTTGCTGCCCGGCTTTACCAGGCGTGCGGGTACCCCCGGCCCCCGCTTCCCTCGTGTTTTTCCCCACCAAAAAGGCAGGGACCGGCTCAGCCCCGTACGGTACTGCAGGTAGAGAGATAGGAAAAAGCCATCCTACCTCCCCCATTCTTAAAGGCCAGGTACGGGAACCTCCAGACATTGCCCAGCCCCACTGCATAACCCACCATGGAGAGGATGAAATCCAGCTTGCTAGACCAGTTCCCTCGGGCTTTATTTTCATCCCCTACATCGTCTTCCTAAAGGGGAGAAAAGGGGAAAGGGGGAGAAAAAAAAGAAAAAAAAAGAGAGATCGGAAAACAGCCACTTTTGCAAACAAGCATCGCGGTGCCGCGGCTGCCGGCTTCACCCGAGGGAGTCCCGGAGAGCGGGGGCGGGCGGGGG